ACGTGAACCGCGGTTGACTACGTGGGAGTCCAGTGACATAGCCATTACACTAACTGCTGGTCCCGTTATTTTTTTTTTATTTTTTAAAAGAATTATTTTACTTAACTGTATTTATTATTATCATCATTAGTGTTTTCCAGTTTGATCAGAGAGAGACAGAGAGAGAGAGAGGAAGTGAGAAAGCAAGCCACCAGGTCTGAGACTTGAACCGTGGTTGGCCAGGTGGGAGTCCAGTGCCTTTAACCACCATGCCACTTGCCAGCCCCTTATTTCATGATATTTTAAATTATAATTTATAATTTACATGTAATGATCATACATAGCTCTGGATCCAATATGGTTTTCAAAACATGTACACTGGGTAAGAATTGAACTGGATCCGTAAGTGTGTTTCCCATTTCCAAACCCTTTGATCTCCTTGACCTTGGAAGGAGATGAGGGGAAGGTGCTGGAGGAGAGAGAGTGTAAGATGGTCCATGTTAGAGAGTCCCCGAGTGGGATGAGGATGCTGTCGGCCTCTCCCAGGGGACCCTGAGCACGAAAACACAGCAGTAAAGGGGATTTGTGCTCTTCATTATTGATGGAACGCCCACAGGAAGGTGGGGATCCCCACTGACTCCTCACGTTATACTGTCTCCTGTCACCAAGGGGAGGACAGTAGGTGCTTTGTAGTTCCACGATTCACAAATACTTTGATAATTCTTGGGGTAAGTAAATGACAGCTCATCGAACTTAAAGAGACTTTGAATGTCTTTGTGTGTGCCAATAAACCATGGAAGAGCTGGTGGCTCCATGTTAACCTTTGACCTCGTCACCTTTCGCTGTCCACCCCCTGTGACTGCTCCCCACAGGACCAGTGGGCCTCAGAGCTGCCCTTCATGTTCCCATCTGCTCCACAACTTGCCTCCTCCTTTTCCAAAATTAAAACACAAACTCTCACCACAGCAGCCCAAGGAGGTTCCAGGTACTATGTCCTATGAGAGCAGCAGGAACCCCCGACTGGGCCCCCATGAGAGCTCCACATTTACACGGACTCTTTGCCTTCCCAGAGATCCGATCCATCAGCAGCAGTGTAGACTCTTTCCAAATCTCTCCCGACCTCATCCGGCCTTTGACTCTCCATTGTCTCTCTGTGGCACTGTCAGAATGAGGGCTCTGATGACATTTTCCCCGACTCCCACCCAGGTCCCCTCCCCTTCCCAGAGCCATCTGCTGGAGAAATCTCCCCCAGTTCCCGGGGCTCCTGCCTCTTCCTGCCCGAGCAGCTGGGCCTCCTCTCAGGGAAGGGCTCACACCTCCTCCATCTGGCCCCTCCTGGAGAAACAGAGCCACCCTGGCCTTGATATGCATCATGTCCCCCAAAACACAAATTGAGTCAAAATGTCTCAGCCAGAGCAGTGGCCCTTGGCCTATCTGGATAGGTGAAAAGAGTTTACATGGAATGGGGCACAGAGTGTGGACAGAGAGTCCCAGAGGCAGTCTGGAACTGTGTAGGGTGAGAGCTGGGGAGGACAGGAGCCCAGAGCATCAGCCCCTGCCCAGGAGCGACGTGTCTCCTGCTTCCACCAGAGGGCGTGGAGGAGTAAGTCTCTGCTCAGGGTGCCCCAGCTGCCTCCTAGTCTGCTTCCCCCTTGCTTGTAGGTGTCCCTGTGGGCCCCCCATGAGACGCAGCCCCTCCCCTTGCACAGTCTGCACTTCTCGGTCTAAGCATGTCTGAGGTCGAAGGAGGGACTGTGTGACCTCCAGAAAGGGAGAGATTTGCATGGAGACTTCCCACCCCGATGATCAGGAGGACAGATAAGAGGTTTGTGGGCTCAGACTTGGTCATGGGCCTCAGGAAGTACAGACCCGGGGATTCCCGCCATGGACTGGGCTCCACTCCTCCTCACCATCCTTGCTCACTGCACAGGTGGCTGCCTGCAGGGGGTTCTGGGAAGGCACCTGGCTGGACTGCGATGATGAGCTCTCCCCCTCCACCCTGGGATCTGGACCTGGTCCACCCTCACTGATCTCTGTCCCTCTCTGTCCTTACAGGGTCTGGGGCTACCTTTGTGCTGACTCAGCCTGGCTCTGTGTCGGGGTCCCCTGGAGAGAAGGTCACTATCTCTTGCACCCGCGACAGTGGCAGCATTGGAAGCTACTATGTGTCCTGGTACCAGCAGCGCCCGACCAGCGCCCCCACCACCCTGATCTATCAGTATAACCAAAGGCCCTCGGGGGTTCCCGATCGGTTCTCTGGCTCCATCGACAGCTCCTCCAACGCCGCCTCGCTGACCATCTCTGGGCTGCAGCCTGAGGACGAGTCCATCTACTTCTGTCTGTCTTATGATAGCAACAGTAATCTCACAGTGCTGCAGCCGCAGGGGGAAGTGAGACATGAACTCCCCGAGCTCAGCATCTTGGGTCTGCCCTGAGCCTGCCCTGAGCAGGCTGTTAGCTCCTCTCTCTCCTGCTGAGTGCTGGAGGGGGAATGGACTGTTTAGAGTCTCTTCTCATTTGTATTTAAAATGCTAGTTTCAGGGCAGCAGACAGCACGGTTGTTTAAGGGGTGGATCTCACATAGTTGATCCCATGGTTCGAGTCCCAAACTCAGCTCGAAAAAACACAGCAGGCGCATGTGCGTGCATGCCCAAATCCTGACAGGAGAGTGGAGGAGAAGGGAATGCGGTGTGGCCATCTCCCTGGGGGAGACTTCTCACTTTCTCTCTGTCCCTCTCTGGCGAGCACATGGGACCTGCAGTAAAAACCTTAAAATAAAGAAATGCATTCATAAAATACAATAAATTAAAATCATATGCAGCTTCTCCTTCCACAATTTGCTGACTCACTTTCTAGGATGCTTACAATCAACCCACAGAGTAGATGGCGTTTCCACCCGGGATTCTGGACTGCCGCAACATTGGTAGTTTGGGTCAGGAGCTGCTCCCAGGTGGACAATGCTAGTGCCCTCCCTGACCTCGACCCTCCCCCTAACAGGAATCATACCCTCCCCTCAACTGTGACAATAACATGTGTCAAACACTGCCTCCTGTCGACTGCCCAGAGAACAAGTCAGCCCCGGTTGAGTTAAAGAGCACGTCTTCAGCTCCATGGAAGTCCTGTGTATGCCATTCAGCAGGGCAGAAGGCAAGAGTTTTTAAAATCCCAGTGCATAGCTGACTCCCATCTGTTAGACACATGATAACAGAAATTCAAGAGGTTGTGCTCACAGCTGATGACATTCTTTTTTTTTTAAAGCAGTTTCTTTTTTTAATGATTTATTTAACTTTATTTATTTATTTATTTATTTTTGAGAGGTTTTTGCTATAGGGCGCGTGCGCTTGCCGGACAGACAGAGAGAGACATAGAGACAGAAAGCGAGAAATCACCCCCTGGGGGGATGGCCACGCCGCAATCCCTTCTCTTCCATTCTCCTCTCGGGATCTTGGGCACGCACGCACACGCACCCAGTGTGTTTTAAACCACTGGCTCTGGGACGCAAACTGTGGCCGGCTACGTGGAAGTCCAGCGACATAGCCATTACGCCAACTGCTGGTCCCAAGGTGGACATCTCTTAATGAGGTCCGGAGGGTCCTCTTTGTATAACCAGACACCAAGGGCTTCTCAGACTAGTGGCTGCCTGACTCCTTTGTCTTACAGAAGACGACAGGGTTTTATTTGTTTGCTTGTCTGTTATTTGTTATTATTATTATTATTTATTATTATTATTTTGGCCTGGGTTAAAAAAAATAATAACCGGGTGATCCATCCTTGGAAAAGTAAGAAAGGAAGAAAATCCTGCTAAGCGCAGTATAAGAAACCCAAACATGAAGGGTCAGTTCATGTAGGAGTTAATTTCCATAAAATATGAAGAGATCAAGTCACAGCTACGAGTCAGAGAATGGTTCCCAGGATGGAGGGAGTGAGGATGGGGTGATTGCAGATGGCGTGGGGTCTCCTTCAGGGGCCGTTGGAAGTGTTTGGACAGTGTTTGGGACTCGGTAGAGGTGGTGGCTTATGTCATCGTGGACACATTCAATGTCACTGAGTCATATCTTTTTTTTTTTTTTTTTGAGAGGTTTTTGCTACAGGGCGCGTGCGCTCGCCAGACAGAGAGAGAGAGAGACAGAGAGACAGAAAGTGAGAAATCACCCCCTGGGGGATGGCCACACCTCAATCCCTTCTCCATTCTCCTCTCGGGATCTTGGGCACACACGCACATGTGCCCGGCGTGAGTTTTAAGCCACCGGGTCCAGGACTCGAACCGCGGTTGGCTACATGGGAGTCCAGTGACATAGCCATGACGCCAACTGCTGGTCCCAACTGAGTCATATGTCTTAACTGGTTAATTTGATTTAGGTAAATTTTGACTCATTAACAAAAATAAAACAGCTAGTGGGTCAGATTGGGCTCTATAGCCCGAAGAGGAGGTTCCTAGGAAATGAATTTGTTCCCCCTGTCTGATGAGGGGACAGGGGACAAGAGGGCGGGGAGGCCACCTCTCTCTCCAGAGACCCCTGCTGTACCTCCAGACTAGAGGAAATCTGGCCCTTGGGCAGCAGGGGGCACTGTGGTCCTGAGCAGCTGAAGCCAGCCACCTGCCTGCCCCCATGGGTCCTGGTGCTCAGCGCTACCTCACAGTAAGAGAAGCCCCTGTGACACTTACTGATAAAGACTTCATATCCACAATCCTGCTTTTCTCTGACCCATATATTACCACGTAAAAATGTAAATTAACAGTATTTTCATGTTTTTACCAAACAGGTTTTTTTTTTTTGCAAAACTTTACTTTTTGACAAATTATGTATGCTTCATATTTCTGATCAGATATTAATCATTTGCTGTCATTTAAAAATGAAACAATTATCAGACCCTCTTAGTGTGAGCCATAATTTTCCTTAAGGCCCTGTTGGACAGGTTGGTCCTCACAGCTCTCACAACCAGGCTCAGCTGGTCCTGGGCAGCTGACAGGGCAGTGGGGAGGCAGGCTGTCCCTAAGGGGCTCTGGTCACCAGGACACAGGATGGTCTGTCTGTGCTTGCACACTAAGGGACACCCAGGCCCCGTGCATAAGAGGTCTAACAGGGTAAGAGCCACCTGGCCCTGCCTGCTGCCTTCCACTCAGGGCTCACAGCTGGGACCTCCCATCCCTGGGTCCACACAGCCCCACTCCTCCCACCCTCAGGCAGGGGGCCTGACCCAGGGCCAGGTGGGACCAACAGACTATGGTGGGGTCTCATTTGCCTGAATGACCCCTCCCCCTTTCAGAGCATGAAGAAGGGAAGGGAGAGATTGAGGGGAGCTCTGCTTCAGCTGTGGGCCCAGAAGGCAGGACTCCGGGATCCTCCACCATGGCCTGGTCCCCTCTCCTGCTCACCCTCCTGGCTCACTGCACAGGTGACTAGATACGGGGCCAGGGGAAAGGCCTGGGGAGACCATGGGCCCTGTTTTCTCCTCTTGTCTCTAGATCCAGAATCACCCTCTGTGTCTCTCCCACCTCCAGGGTCCTGGGCCCAGTCTGTGCTGACTCAGCCATCCTCAGTGTCTGGGGCCCTGGGCCAGAGGGTCACCATCTCCTGCGCGGGAAACAGTGACAACATTGGTCGTCGAGAAGAGCTCCCAGGGACGGCCCCCAGACTCCTCATCTATGATAACAGCAAACGGCCCTCAGGGTTCTCTGATCGGTCTCTGATCGATTTTCTGGCTCCAAGTCTGGAACCTCGGCCTCCCTGACTATCTCAGGGCTTCAGGCCAGGGAGGAAGCTGATTATTACTGTCAGTCCTATGATGACAGCCTCAATACTCTCACAGTGCTCCAGGCCAGGGGGGAAGTAAGACAAGAACCCTCTGTCTGCAGCCCTGGGGCTTCTCTGCTCAGCTCCCACCATGGCCAAGTCAGTGGCTTTGTTTGCTTGGTCTAAAACATCAGTTTGAGCTCCTGTTTAGTGAAATTTATCTAGAGACATGGTCCTCACCCTCTCTAATTCTGCCCCCAAATCCGGTCTTAGGCAATAACACATTGTGTGTTTTTCCCAAATTCTGAACCCAGTCCAGGAGGCAGGGGCAGGAGGCCCTGAGCAGGGTCCAGGAGCACATTAATCTGCTGAGGCTCCCACAGCACTGGCCTCAGATTGGGAGTCTCCCAAACCTCTTTATTTCCTGTCAGGTCCAGTTCCACTTGTCACCAGGTTGGTTCTTTCTGGAGAGCCACTCACAAACACGAAATAGGCCCAGTGCCAACATGTAGAGCTAAAGCTGTAAAATCTCAGAAGAAAACATTAGAGAAAACTTCCCAGCAGTGAGTGTGGAAACAATTTACTGGATATGATAAAAAAGCACAGGCAGAAAAAGAAAGAATTTGATGAGAGAAGGAATAAAAGGTGGGACTGAATAAATGAAGGAAGGAAAAAACAGAAGATGGACAGATCGAAGGAGAGGACGTACTGTAAGACTAATCCTGTCCTACAAAGATAAAGTCTAACCTTTGCCTCTTTCGCTTCTGTAGTTGTGGAAACCTGGGGTAATTTGTTAACACCTTGCAGGGAGCTCTGAGCCATTTGCAAGCTAGTCTGGCAAGCTAGCCCGGACCTTTGTAGTGTAAAATTCCTCCCTTCTGCTAGCCCTGGAAACCCAGATCAAATGCTCCTGCAAGCCTGACCAAATGGTGGCCATAAGATTACCCTTGAAACCCCTTCCTCCCCTCACCCCACGGACTCATGTCTATATAACCTGAATACTCCTATGTTCGGGACTTCACTCGTTCTCATGTCTTCCATGAATGAGAGTGGAGTCCTAGCTCGCTAGCAATAAAGCCTCTTGTAATTTACATCAAGGACCGACTTTTGTGGTTGATTGGGGTCGCTGTTTCCGTAACACTCCCTGGACAAGAAGGTTCAGCGAGTTGCCAGCAAAAACCTTTCAATACCTGCATGAGAGGACTGAAGCTCAGGTGTCCCCAGTCCACGCTGTGGACCCCAGAGGCTGTGTTGGGTCTCTGGATGGTCATAATCCATAGGCCAGGAGAGAGGGCTGTGTGTTGTGAATGTGCAGCTCAGAGAGGAGCTCCAGCCCTCCCTCCCCTATCTTCCCCTCCCCTCCACATGTGGAATCCCTGGGCTGCCACCTGCTCCCACTCTGAGAAAGAGCAGCTACAGCAAAGTCAGTCCGCACCACCCAGGTCTCCATCCAGAGAGACCAGAGCATGAGGGGTGGAGGGGGAAGGGCCATTTGGTGGGTGGTATGATCCACCTTCCCACCCCCTCCTGCTTCACGGGAGACTTCACAGGCACAGGGCGTCTCACCATGGACCAGGATGCTCGCACTCATGTTCACACAGCGTCATCTTTGTCCCTGATGGTGGCAGGATGGTTTCCTACTTTGTTGTGTGTCCTGCTGGAGGAATCACAGCGTTAGAGGTGGTCCTGTTGGCTTCTCATCAAACATGCATCTGAGCTGCGCTCTATGACTGATGGCTCTTAACTCAAAGCAGTCCTGGCAGTGCCAATGTGTGTTCGTACCCCTGGCCTGACCCACCACAACTGCCACTGTAGGTGGTTATAAGACTGAGTCAGAGAGGACCCTGCTCTTCACAGTCCCAGACCTGGGCTCTGAGCTGTCCTACTAGGCTCCCTGCTGGGGGAAGGAGACCTGCTTGTCACCTACAGAGAAGACAGAGTCCTTCCTCTGGGGAGGGAAGGAGCGTACCCAGGGCTGGGGTCAGGTGGGAAAGACTATAAGTGGCAGGAGGTGGGGCCCTCACCCTGTTCCCCACTCAGCCTCAGGATCTTCAGAGAGAGAGTTTAGCCCTGAGGTCACCAGGGGTTGGGAGCTGACTTAGTGAAAATGTCACCTCATCACTCAGTGTCTCAGTTCCCTGTGGTCACAGGTCTGTGAGGTCCCAGAATCCGCCTCCCTCCAGGTCTCTCGCAGGGTAGGTTAGGTGGGCAGGAAGTGGCTGGGCACTGATCTCCAGAAAGGTCCTTCTAATGGGTCTGGGATGCATGAAAAGGCCCGAGGACACTAAGACCAGTCGAGGAGTCTGAAGATGCAGAGCCTTCACCAGTGTGCCCACCATGGCCTGGATGGTGCTTCTTCTTGGGCTCCTCACTATCAGCTCAGGGGAGGGACAGGGCTCTGCATCCTTGGGGAACCCACCTGAACCAGGTCCAGGGTGACCCTGGTCTCCATGATAATAACCGTGTCTCTCCTGTTGGTTTTAGGAGCCAGTTCTCAGACTGTGGTGACCCAGTAGCTGTCATTGCCAGTGTCTCTAGGGCTGATGACCACACTCACCTGTGGCCTTGGCTCTTGGTCTGTCTCCACCAGTCACTACCCCTGCTAATACCAGCAGACACCAGGCCCGGCCCACCACACACACATCCACAACACCAATAGCCATCCGTCTGGGGTCCCCGATCACTCCTCTAAGTCCCTCATGGGGAGCAGGGCCAACCTCTCCATTACCAGGGGGCTTAGAGTAAGGATGACCCTGAGTATCCTTGCATATGAGTAGTTATTTATTTACAGCAATGGAGAAGCACAACCAGAGCCTCTTCACGTGCTCAGAATGGCTCAGCCCTGGGGCAGGAGAGGGAGGGAGAGGTGGACATAGCCAGCCCCATCATTCAGGAGGGCTCGGCAGCCTCCCCGGGGGCATCCACTCCCCAGTGTGGCTCCTCCCACACCGGGCTCCCTCTCTCCCTGTCTGCCAAGAGCACTGAGGGGAGGGGGGGTCTGCTCCAAATAGACATAAATCAAAGGAGACCCAGAGACCCACCACCACCAGGGAGACTCTGCTTATTCAAAGAGCAGTAATAGAACATTCTCCTTCATTAAATGAATGGAGATCACATTATTTTCCATTTTGGAACAAAATAGGAGCATTATCTGGGAGTTTGTTAGGAATGCAGCTCTCCATCCTGGATCTACTGGATCAGAAACTCTGGTGAGTGTCCAAGAATCTGCTTTCACAGGATCTTTTTTTTTTTGGAGAGGTTTTTGCTATAGGGTGTGTGTAGCATGCTCACCAGAGAGACAGAAAGCAAGAAATCACCCCGGGGGGTGGTAGGAGGGTGGGGGGGATTGGCCACGCTGCAATCCCTTCTCCGTTCTCCTCTCGGGATCTTAGGCACGCACGCACACATGCTCCGGCGTGAGTTTTAAGCCATCGGGTCCAGGACGCGAACTGCGGTTGACTACGTGGGAGTCCAGCGACATAGCCATTATGCCAACTGCTGGTCTCAGCTTTCACAGGATCTTCAGGAGATTTTCATGAATATGAATGTCACAGAAGGAACTTTGCTTTTATTGTTATGAAAGTACTCCCAGATTTTTTAACATGCAAGACTTAGGACAGCAGTCAATCCCACCCACATTCCCAGTCAAACTCCCAAGAGCACTCAGAATTTAAAACCTGAAGGGACCAGCAGATGGTGTAATGGTTATGTCACTGGGCTTCCCAGGGAGTCGACTGCAGTTCAAGTCCCAGACCCGGTGGCTCCAAACTCACACTGGGCACATGCACGTGTGCCTAAAATCCCAAGAGGAGAATGGAACAGAAGGGATTGCAGTTTGGCCATCTCCCTAGAGGGAGATTTCTTGCTTTCTGTCTTTCTGTCTCTCTCTGTCTCTCTGGCAAGCCAATGCATCCTGTAGCAAAACTCTGGAAAAAGAAAAAGAATTCAAAACCTCAAGTTGGTGCTGATATCTAAGACTTGATGTCTAAATTCTGCACATCAGTGGGAATCATTTCTACAAACCTGAGTTCCTAAAGAGGACTCCGTGCCTGGTGGGAGTGTCTCTGTGAGCGTGGTTATCTCCTATAGGACTGGCTTCAAGAAACGCTATCCCACCTGCGGAGCTGACTCCCAGGTAAAGGAACTTCAACAAACTGAAACATTCCACAATAACATCTTGGGACTAACAGATGGCATAAGGTCAAAACAAGGGCAAAAACAAAAACAAAAAAGAAAAAGGAAAAGAAATGAGAAGAGAAATGCAAGCAACTACACAGACAGGCCCAGCCCTTTCCTGTCCCAGAACTGACACCAGCCACTGGGACAGCTCACAGGCCCAGGGAGGGGGTTGGTAGAAAGGAGGCAAGGAGGGAATTTGCATCAAGGCCCCAACCACCCCTGCTGTGGGTTAGAGGGAGGATAAGAGAGACCTGCAGCTTGTCTGCCTCAGCACAGCTCCAGGTCGTCTGCACCATGGCCCGGACCCCACTCTCCCTCCTTGGCCTCCTCCTCCTCTGCACAGGTCAGGACCATCCTGAGTATCCTGGTCCCAGGTCCTGAAACCACCTCCAGCCTCAGGAGAAATGACCTTTCCCCATCCTTCCCCAGGCCATAATGGGTGTCTGTGTTCCAGGGTCCCTCTCCCAGCCCGTGCTGACTCAGTCGCCGTCTACGTCTGCCTCCCCGGGAGCCTCGGCCAAGCTCACCTGCACTCTGAGCAGGGAGCACAGCACCTACACCATTGCATGGTACCAGCAGCAGCCAGGGAAGGCCCCTCGGTATGTGATGTGGCTTAAAAGTGATGGAAGCCACAGCAAGGGGGACGGGATCCCTGATCGCTTCTCGGGCTCCAGCTCTGGGGCCGACCGCTACTTGACCATCTCCAACCTCCAGCCTGAGGACGAGGCTGACTACTTCTGTGGAGCAGATCATAGTTATAATTACAGCACAGTGACCCACATGAAGGGGGAAGTGGGACAAAAACTGTTTGCTGTTCCGCTCTTTTGACTGACACAGGGCTCCCAAGGAGCGTCTGCTGCCCTGAACGCCATTTCTGTTGTTACCATGTTACAAGCAGAGCACCAGCACCTTCTGATCCCCGCCAAGAGCTCCCTGTGGACAGCCCTGGGCAGGCTCCTGCAGAGTGATGCAGAGAGCACCCAGCTCCTGCCGCCCGGGCTGCTCTGCTGCGTGCTTGCTGCATGGGGGACGCAGGACACTCCTTTCCAGACACTGTGTTACCTGGGAAGTCCCCATGTACACATGTCCCTAAGATCCCCACAGCCCTTCACCCTGCTCACCTGTCCCCACCTGTGACACTGCCCTGAAGACACATGTGCCCCAGAAGGCCTTTACTAGACTGTGCTGGGGGCTGAGGCCGGGTGATGCCTGTGCACGTTTGCACGTGCTGGGAAGGAGACCGTTGGGACCGCAGTCACCCCGTAGGACTCAGAGCTTTCGTCATGAGCACAGACAGTGCCTGGTGAGCTGCAGGGACCAGCTGGGCTCCCAGGTCTCTGGGCCATGGGGCCCTGTGTGCTGTGACCAGCAGGGGGCGCTGGAGGACTGCGCTGCGGTCCCTGCACAGCAGCTCAGAGAGGACTTTTCACTCCCAGGAGCCTGGAATTTGAGGAAATGGATGAAAGTTCTGTCAACTGAAGTCAATCCAGGACAAAAAGGCAAATATCCTGTGCCTCACATGCGTGGAACCTAAAAATGTTGATCAAGTAGATCTAGAAAGGACGGCAGTGGCTCCGACGCATTCTGCACAGCAGTGGGAGGAGGGAGAGAGAAGGGTAGAGGGTGGTCGGTCACTCGGTGTCACACAGTCCCAATGCTTGATGTTCCTCGCCCAGGATGGTGTGTATATTCCACGGTAGCGTTTTATACCCTTCAAAATAGTTCGAAGCAGATATTTTGTATAATCTCACCCTAAAGAAGGAGCACATGTTGGCCCACTGCAGGGACGCACTGGCAGTACCCCTGATTTGGGGGCTGGAGCTGCATGAGTGTGGGGTTCAGTCCCAGCGAACCCGAACATGCCAGACCCCTGCAAACCCTTGCATCCTGGCTCACTGAGAGGCTGGGGAGGAGGTCGCCACAGCAAGACCTGTAGGAAATGTCTCTCTTCCTTTCCCTTTTTAGCTGTCGCTCCCTCTCCCTCTCATTAATGCAAAATTAAAATTAAGAAAGACATAAGACATATTCAAGGTGATAGTGAAGCGGGCATGACCCCGTCTTGCAGGAGCACCTCCAAGAGGAGTGGGGAATGAAGCAGGAGTGACTCCATCTTGGATTCCTGTGACTAGAAACTTGCCTTCTCCTCTGTGCCTAAGAGTCAACAGAGTAATTAGCATTCCTATTGTCTTTAAACCCCACTCCTCTTAACTGCCCTAAAATGTTCCTTAGTGATTTAATCCTCAGCCAGAACCCCTTGCCCTGGGCTATGAAGACCATTAAACTTCTATTGTGTTTAAGGCAGACAGAACCTACCCTGAAGGAGGATTAACCTGCTTTTCTTGCTTCTGTCCTGTGCTTTTGCTTTTACATTGACAAAACCCTACCCCCTACCCTCCTCCCCCATCTGAGCCCACTACACCTTACCCCCTGAATCCTCACGTCATACCAAATCCCCCCTCCCCCCCGTAGGCCACAGGCTTAATCAATAAAAATGTGGCTCAGTCTGGATGTCCTCCTATTTCTCCCTGAGTAGACTATAACAATAGTTATGCTACATACCTTGACTTGATTATCATTCAATGCACCAAGTGTTTAAACATCACCTTGTATCACATAACAAGTGGAATTTAAGAAACAGAAAAAAGGAGCCTGCACCTGGTGCTGACCATGTGCTCTCCACAGGGGACCCAACAGCTGTGTCCTCTCTGACTGGCACAGTCCCCTGAGCAAGGCCCTCTGTGCTGTCCCAGCAGGTGCTTCCTCCCAGGGGTCCCCAAGGGATGGAACCAATCTCCCTCCCCCTCAGTCTGCAGTGTGAGCAGAGCCCCAGCCCAGGGCTCAGGGAGGGGTTGGGCAGTCACTGGATGGACCCACATTTGCATGAAGAGCCCCTCCTGTGGCAGAGCGTGGGAAGAAAAGGGGGCCTGGGGCAGCCCAGGCATGTGGGGACCAGGGGTTGTGTCCACCATGGCCTGGACTCCTCTCCTCCTCGTGCTCCTCTCTCACTGCACAGGTAGGGACAGGCCATGGGGACACAAAGCAGCCCCAGCCTGCTTCACTCTCTTCAAGCAGAGATCCTTGAGAATCGGAACACTGGTCTCTGCTTTGTCATTCAAGTGTGTCTGTGTCTGCAGGTTCCCTGTCCCAGCCTGTGCTGACCCAGCCGCCCTCCCTCTCTGCATCTCCTGGAGCATCTGCCAGACTCACCTGCGCCCTGAGCAGTGGCTTCAGTGTTGGTGACTTCAGGATAACCTGGTTACAGCAAGAGCCTGGAGGCCCTCCCCACTATCTCCTGAACTACTACTCAGACTCCGACAAGCACCAGGGCTCCGGGGTCCCCAGCCGCTTCTCTGGATCCAAGGACACCTCGGCCAATGCAGGAGTTCTGCACATCTCTGGGCTGCAGCCTGAGGACGAGGCCCACTATTACTGTACGACTTATCATGGAGGTGCTGGTGTTTACACGATGCTTCCCACACATGGGAAGTGAGACTAAAACCTCCCCTGTGCTCTCCCTGCCCGGAGCCCTCAATCGTGCACTGCTTTGGGCCACATCTACCTCATTGTCACTTTTGTCACTTTTCCCAGTGACTAATCTTAAGACCAGTGGTTGTGAGACTGTCTCTTCATTCAAATGAGTTTTAAAGTCCTCCTGATCATTTGCTAGTGTCCTCTTGCCCTGGTCATGTCTGCAGTGACATAATCAGTCCTCAAGGCTCAGGGGCCCTCCAGGGAGATGATGGCCCAGGAGGGAGGTGGCTGACTCCTCCATGCCCAGCCCAGGGTCTCGGCCTGACTCAGAGCCTGTGTGGTCTCATAGCTCCTGGTTGGTCCGTGGTCCAGCGTGCCCCGAAGCTCCCCATGACAGCTCCAGGAGGAGGTTCCCTCCCTCCGGCTGCTGGTTCTCCTTCTCAGTCCTCTGAGCTGCTCTTCCCTCCTGAGGCTCAGAGCAGGCAGGTCTCTGGGGACCAGGGGTGCTGAGCAGACTGATCTTCGTGCTGTGGCCTCTGTGTGCACAGGGACACTCAGTGTCAGGCACCTCACCCCTGAGTCATGTTCTATGGTAACCTCTTCTCTCTGCACCCCATGTGATCTGCTGCTCTTCTAGGACTTCACGAGGCTGAGGACAGTCAGGGCTCAGGGCAGACTCAGATGAAGCAGGTCCCTCCCACAGGAGTGCTGAAGGGGGTTCAGAGGGATGCAGAGCTGGGGCCCCTCACTGCGGTGTCAGGGAGCTGATTCTGTGGACCTCTCTGCCCCGACATGTCCTTTCTCTGCAAAGGGACTGAGGAAGGGATTGGAGATTGTTCATCAGGAGACCACCCCTGTCCCCATTCCCTCCCCTAAGACAGTGTGGGGCTTTTGTACTGGCTCCAGGGAACAGTTATGACCATGTAGGGCAGTCTCCGGTGACTCCAGAGCCTGTCAGGGTCCCATTCCCTGAGTGATCCGGGACTGTGTCTGCTCCTCCCCAGGGCACGTCCTTCCAGAACGCTGTAGCAGACCGTGGACTAGGGGGATGGTGAACACAGATCATTGCTCACAGTCCAGGGGGGCTAGGAAGTCTGAGATCAGGACCCGGTAGATTTGGGGTCAGTGGGGGCTGCTCTCTCGGCACCTGCTCCTGTGTCCACACCTGGTCAAGGGGCACGGGAGCTCCTGGGGCCCCTTTATCAGGCTCTGTCTTCTGGATGAGGCTCCACCCTCATGGCACAGTAGCTCCCAGAAGGGCTGTCACCATCACTACATACCTACAGCCGGGGCAGGACTCCCACACTTGAACTTTGGGGGAACACGAACACACATTCCAACCAGAGCACCTGGTGCCTCTCCTCCCCCAGGTCCTCCGGGTGCCATGAGCACTGACTCCAGCCCTGGGCATGCATAGGGGAGGAATCTAAGCTGCTAGAGCCCCTTACTCCCATCACCCTCCTCCCACGGCCTTCCACCCCTGCACTTAGTAAATGATAACGATTCCAGGGAAGCTTCTCCTGGAGCCCACACCAAGTCCATGCTGCTGCCCCGGCCCAGCCCTTCCTGCTTCTCATTAGGCTCCTGAGAGGGGAGAGAGCTGTGGACCCACCTGAGATCGGTCCACCAGGTCCATGCAGAGTCTGGAACCCCAACAGAGATGAAACCATGACCCGTCAGGGAGGGGCTCTCTGATGCCCCCAGAGGACAGAAGCAAGGGTGAGGTGTGAGGAGATGCGGAGGCCACTGGGGGGTCCCTGCAGTTGATAGTGACTCTAGGGGAGGGCTCCTGGGAGGACGCGGCCCCTTTAACTCTGCCTTGATTTTCTCAAGTAGGGTAAGGTGTCAACTGAGGCTAGTGGCCCCTGCTCAGCTGTGATGGAAGCAGGGCAGAGAGCTGTGTCTGTGACCAGCAGGGGGTGTCAGGGGTCTGAGAGTGAGTAAGAGACTGTGGCTCCCCAGGTGGGAAATGGCTGAGGCTGCTCCAGTGGGACAGGAGCAGGCACCGTGAAGGTGCTGGACTCTCCTGAAGCTGGGACAGCTCTAGGACATGAGAGATAAGCATCCCTTAGTGCAGGGACAGCCCACGTCGGGTCCACGTTGTTTTTTTTTTTTGAGAGGTTTTCGCTATAGGGTGCATGAGCTCACCAGACAGACAGAGAGAGACATAGAGACAGAAAGTGAGAAATCACCCCCCAGGGGGGATGGCCACACTGCAATATCTTCTCCTCCATTCTCCTCTCGGGATCTTGGGCATTTTCGTACATGCGCCTGGCGTGAGTTTAAGCCACCAGGTCCGGGACTCGAACTGTGGTCGATTACGTGGGAGTCCAGCGACATAGCCATTACGCTAACTGCTGGTCCCAGGTCCACTTTTTCACCAGCATTCGAATGTCTATCCTGAGCAGAGTCTAGACAGGGATTGGAGAGGGCGCCTGGCAGGGACACACCTTCATGAGGGGGTCTCCTCCATCTCCCAGGGGTAAAGAGGGAGAAGAGGGGAGGCTCAGGTGTCCCCAGTTCACACTGGAGCCCAGAGGCTGTGCCGGGCGCTCTCCACATGGTTCCTGAATCTTCATAATCCACAGCCCAGGAGAGAGCTCTGTGTGCTGTGAACGTGCAGCTCAGAGAGGAGCTCCAGCCCTCCCTCCCCTCCCCTCCCCCAAACCACCTCTTCTCTCTTCTCTCCCTCCCCCCCCCCCATGGAGTCTCTGGACTGCCACCTACTGTCACTCTGCAACCTGAGCAACAATGAAAGGTTCAGCAAAGTCAGTCAGCACCAGAGAGGCCAGAGGACCAGGGTATGCAGGGGGAGGGGACCATTTTCTGGCTGGGTTGACCTGCCTTCCCACCCCTCCTGCTCCACAGGAGACTCGATGGCCGCACGGGGTCTCACCATGGACCGGGATGCTCACACCCACCTGTTCACACACAGCATCATTTGTGTCTCTGACGGTGACAGGATGGTTTCCTCTCTGCCCTTTGGCCTGCTGGAGGAGTCACAGTGTTTAGAGGCGATTCTGCGGGCGTCTCATCAAACCTGCATCTGAGCTGTGCTCCATGCCTGAGGGCTCTCAGTTCAAAAGAGTGTTGGGGTCCCAGCCTGGCAGTGTCACTGCATGTGCTGCACCCCAACCCTGTCCCCTCCACCTGCCACTGGGGACAGTTGACAGGACTGGGTCGGTGGGGACCCTGCTCTTCACACTCCCAGACCCAAGCTCTGAGCTGTCCCCCTGGACTCTCTGCTGGGGGAGGAGGGCCTGCTTATCACACAGAGAAGACACAGGGTCCTTCCTTTGGGAAGGGAAGGAGGAGGCAGGGCTAGGTCGGGTGGGAAAGAACAAGGGAAGCCAGAGGCAAAGCCCTCACCCTGCTCCCCACTCAGCCTCAGGTTCTGCAGAGACGGAGTTCAGGCCTGAGGTCCCCAGGACTGGAAACATGACCTGGTGAAAATGTCACCTCAGCACTCGGTGTCTCAGTCCCCTCTGGTCACTGGCCTGTGAAGTCCCAGCATCTGCCTCCCTCCAGATCTCTCCCAGGGGACACCAGGTGAGCCCTGGCCAAGAGGGGGCAGGGAGCTGATTTACACGAAGGTCCTTCTCCTACTAATGCATCTACAAAGGCCTAACGAGGCATAAAAAGGCCCGAGGACAGCAAGTCCATCTGCAGAGTCTGACGTGGAGCCCTCACAAGTGTCCCCACCATGGCCTGGATGGCGCTTTTTCTTGGGCTCCTCACTCTCTGCTCAGGCGCGTCTTTGGGGAGCCCACCTGAAGTACGTCCAGGGTGGTGCTCGTCTTCATGAGGGTAACTGTGTTTCTTCTGTTGGTTTTAGGGGCTGGTTCTCAGGCGACAGTGACCCAGGAACGGTCACTGTCAGTGTCTCCGGGAGGGACAGTCACCCTCACTTGTGGCCTTGGAACTGGGTCTGTCTCTACCAGTCACTACCCCAACTGCTACCAGCAGACACCAGACCAGCCCTTCCGCACACTGATCTACCACACCAACAGCCGTCCCTCTGGGGTCCCCGATCGCTTCACTGGGTCCCTCATGGGGAACAAAGCCACCCTCACCATCATGGGGGCTCAGATTGAGGACGACGCTGAGTATATCTGCGAGTTGCACATGGGCAGTTGTCATACACAGTGATTGACGGCCATGAAGAAGTGCAACCAGAACTTCATGTGCTCAGAATGGTTCAGCCCTGGGGCAGGAGAGGAAGAGAGAGGTGGACATGGTCAGCCCCATGACAGGGAGGGAGGCCCCTGCCCTGCTCTCCTGCCCAGGCTCCCTGCCAGGTGCCTCTGAGGTTTCTTAGGGGTTCCTTCCCCATTGTGGCTCCCCCAGCACTGGGTTTCTTCTCTCCCTCTCTTCCTAGAGCACTGAGGGAAGGGGCTCTGCTCCAGATAGACATAAACCAGGTGAGCCTGTGGTCCCCCCCAGGACTCATGTGCATCATTAAAGAGGAAGCAGTACTGGGACCAGCAGTTAGTGTAATGGCTATGTATGTCGCTGAACTCCCATGTGGTTGACCGTGGTTCGCATCCTGGACCCGGTGGCTTAAACTCACACCAGGCACGTGTGTGTGTGCCCAAGATCCCGAGAGGAGAACGGAGGAGAAGGGATTGCGGTGTGGTCATCCCCCCTGGGGGGTGATTTCTCGCTTTCTGTCTCTCTGTCTCTCTCTGTCTGTCTGGTGAGCGCACGTGCCCTACAGCAAAAACCTCTCCAAAAAAAAATGCACAAAAAAATCATTTCAAGACCAGCAGATGGTGTAGTTTGTTGCATTGCTAGATTCTCATGGGGCAGACTGTGGTTCAAGTCCCAGACCAAGTGGCTTGAAATTCACGCTGGGATATCAGCGTACCTGCCCTAGATCCCAGGAGGAGAATGGAGGAGAAGAGATTGTGGTGTGGCCATCTCCATGGGGGTGATTTCTCACTTTTCCTTTCATTGTCCCAGTCTCTCTCTCTGTGATGAGCACACACTCCCTAAGGCAAAAATACATAAATGAATACAATTAACATGATAATAAAATTTACAAAATATCTGTGATTTGGAAACATAAAACGGCTGTTGTCTTTTTTTTTTTTTTGGTATAAAAAGGAAAATCAATCCAATTGCAAGTACCTGAACATGACTTAAAAGGATATTTCTAGGTGGTAATGGTTGTAAATGAAATTTAAAAATTCACCAGAGATTTTTCTTCTTATAAACATATAGACTGATTTTAAATAGCTGACTAACTCACACAATCATTAAATTTTTCAAAAAAAAAAATAGTGCATTTAAAATCTTACAGTGGTGGAATCCCATGAGACAAATTTACTAATAAAGACTACATAGTGACAATCCTGTTTTTCCCTAAGCCCATCTGACTCCACACAACAACACTGGTGACCAGTGTAGACCAGACTTTGCTCTGCATAAATCTGTGTTATTTTGTCTTTTTAGTAAATAGATATTTTTTCAAAATTTGCTTTTTTTGAGAAAATAATATACACTGCATGATATTTCAGATTAGAGGTGAATAATTTGTTATAATTTTTTAAAAGAACTATTTTAAAATTTAATTTTACTTATTCATTCATTTATTTTAATTTGACCAGAGAGAAACACAAAGAGAGAGAAGAGAGAGAAGGCAAACCACCAGGTCCAGGACTCGAACTGTGGTCAGCCATGTGGGAATGTCCAGTGCCTTAGCCACCAGGCCACCTACTGGTCCCAATTTGTTATAATTTTGAAACAGACATCTTCAGACCTTCTTGAGTATGAACCATGCTTTTCCTCAAGCTCTGTTTATAGTGGGTGATCCTAAGAGCTCTCACAGCCAGGCTCACCTGGGCCTGGGCGGCTCACCTGGGCCTGGGCAGCTCAAGGGCAGGGGACAGACAGGGTGGTCTCTGAGGAGCTCTGGTCCCATGGCACAGGATGCTATATGTGGCCTGGACACCAGGGGGCACTCGGGGCTCATTCAAGAGGTCTCTGGGTAATGAGAGCTGGGGTCAGCCACCTGCCCTGCCTGCTGCCCTCTGCTCAGGGCTCCCAGCTGGGACCTCCCACCCCTGGGCCCACACAGCCCCACCTCTACCAACCTGCCATTCTCTGGCAGAGGGGCCTGACCCAGGGCCAGGGGGGACCAGCAATCTGGGGGTGGGGTTTCATTTGCATGAATGCTCCCTCCCTCTCTCAGAGCATGAAGAGGGGAAGGGAGAGACTGGGGGAAGCTCTGCTTCAGCTGTGGGCCCAGAAGGCAGGACTCCGGGATCCTCCACCATGGCCTGGTCCCCTCTCCTGCTCACCCTCCTGGCTCACTGCACAGGTGACTAGATACGGGGCCAGGGGAAGGACCTGGGGAGACCATGGGCCCTACTTTCTCCTCTTGTCTCTAGACCCAGAATCATTGTCTCTGTGTCTCTCCCACCTCCAGGGTCCTGGGCCCAGTCTGTGCTGACTCAGCCGTCCTCAGTGTCTGGGGCCCTGGGACAGAGGGTCACCATCTCCTGCACTGGAAGCAGCAGCAACATCGGGTATGGGTATAATGTGCACTGGTACCAACAGCTCCCAGAGAAAGCACCCAGACTCCTCATCTATGAAAACAACAAACGGCCCTCAGGGGTCTCTGATCGATTCTCGGGCTCCAAGTCTGGCAACTCAGGCTCCCTGACCATCTCAGGGCTCCAGGCTGAGGACGAGGCTGTCTATTACTGTCACTCCTACGATCGCAATCTCGATAGTCACACAGTGCTCCAGGCCAGGGGGGAAGTGAGACAAGAACCTGCTGTGCAATTTTCAGTTGTAGAATTTTTTTTAAATTTTTCTAAAAATCAGCTCTGTTAAGTTTATACATTTCTATTTTCTACTAACATTCTGAAGCATGACTAAGCCTATCATACTTAACATAAAACAAAAACAAGAATTCCCCTGCTGTCTGCCCAGCCCTGGGTCTTCTCTGTTCAGCTCCTACCTGTGCCCAATTCAGATGCTTCCTCTGTTTGGCCTAAGACTGGGATCTGAGCTCTCCTCAGTGAAATGTGTCCAGAGAAGCTGTTTTCCATCTCTCAAATATGCCCCAGTCCTGTCATTCTTGTTAGCACAGTGCAAATTCTTCTAGAATTAAATATATATATTATCTGGATGGCAGGGGGGACTGCTCTGGGACAGAGTCCAGGAGGGGTGCACTGGTCTGTGGGGCTTCCAGAACATGACACCACCGGCCGGGCGTCTTCACTGACAGAGATCTCTTTCCTCATCATTCTGGAGTCTGGGGGGGGGCAGGTCACTTTCCTGCTCTTTTACACTGTGTCCTCTGGCAAGAATACACAACCTATAGATAAAAAACGAAACCTAGGGACCAGCAGTTAGCATAATGGCTATGTCGCTGGACTCCCACGTAGTCAACCGCGGTTCGCGTCCCAAACCCGGTGGCTTAAAAGTCACTCGAGGCACGTGTGCGTGCGTGCCCAAGATCCCAAGAGGAGAATGGAGGAGAAGGGATTGCGGCGTGGTCATCCCTCCTGTGGGGTGATTTCTCACTTTCCGTCTCTCTGTCTCTCTCTGTCTGTCTGGCGAGTGCACGCGCCCTATAGCGAAAATCTCTCCAAAAAAAATATGAAACTTAAACCTAAAACACATCAAAGAGTACTCACGAAATTGTGAATAGAAAGAAACAACTTCAATGAAATGAAGGCCACTTATGAAGACCCCATCGTACGCACTAGTGAATGAAAAACTGTTTTTCTGTAATATAAAAATCGAGACAAAAATGCCATTTCTCCACTTCCCCCCAACTCAAATGAGAAAATGGAACCTAGATACTCATCAGGAAAATGAGTTCGGCGTTGAAATCCAGCAGCAGAGATGTCCGAGCAGCAATCACAGTCACTCTCAGGAGAACTTCCAGACCTCCTTTGCCACTCCTCAGAAAAGGACAGGGTGGGCCGGCCTTGCAGAATCGTGGTTAAGGGACATGAATCCCGCATGGCCTGTTATCATTTGAAACCTGGCCAAGGCCCCTGGGAAAACATGTCAGCCAGGTGTGCGGGCATTCCCCAAATCCAGACAGGATGGGGACTTTCTGTTGAAGGAATTCCACCTGACACACCCCCTCCAGGTTTGCTTTCTCCCTCTCCCTCCCTCTCTGTGTCTCTCAGCAAGCACGCATGACCTCTCTGGCCAGCACACATACCCTCTGCAAAATAAACAAGCAGATAATATAAAATAAATAAAAAAGTAGTATTCTATAATAGCGAAACAAATGAAAGTTATAGAACAGGAACACGTGATGGATTAAATTTCTACACATCTCTGGAGGAACTCAGCGCAATAAACGTTGAAATGAAAATTCAGTCACTGGCGGGCCAGCGAGGGGCATGGTGATTACAGCAACTGGATATCACCCGGTCAGCTGCCTGGATTGAGTCCTGGACCCAGTGGCTTGAAAAACATACCAGTCACATTTGCTTGAGGGTCCAAATCCCGAAAGGAGAGTGGAGGAGAAGGGATTGTATTGTGGCCATCCTCCCTGGGGGGTGATTTCTCACTTCATTCTCTCTCTGTCTCTCTCAAGCCAGCTCATGAGCCCTATAAAAAACTTATAAAATAAATAAATAAAAATAAAAGAAATTCAAACAAGGAACACAGTTCCCAAAATGAACCATACATAGCTCTCAAAGCCCAGCAGGGGCGCTGTGGAGCTGCTCAGAGAGGATCAAGATTGAACAAGTGCACCAGGTTCCCTGTTCCTGGCCTGGCCTGCTCCCTGGACTGAGTGAGGAGCCACAGCAGGTGCTTGCCCCCATGAGAGACTCAGAGCTCACAGCCACTACCTCCTGACAGAGCCGCTGCTTCCAGGGCCTAAGCTCAGTGTGGACAGGCGTGGGGATGAAGGGCTCCATTTGTACAATGCAGCACCCAAACCACAAGTTTACCAGGGAGCTGAGGAGGCTCTCTTTATCAGAGAGCCACCCAGAGTCCAGCTCCAGCTGCAGGTCCTGGGATGTGGGGAGAGTCTACAGCATGGCCTGGACACCCCTTGTCCTCTTGCCTCTCCTCACTCTGTCCTCAGGTCCAAAGCGATGACAGGTACAGGCCTTGGCAGGGTCCCTGTCCTTCCTCTTTCCTGACCTGTGCGTTTTCTGGGTTTAGGGTCTGGTTCTCAGACTGTGGTAACTCAGGAGCCCTCACTGACTGTCAGGACCAGCTCGGCATGAACACCTTTTCTCTGAGTGAAGAAGGCTGTGGATTAGAAATAGATGCAATAACAGAACCAGCAGTTGGCATAATGACTATGTCGCTGGACTCCCACGTAGACGACCATGGTTTGAGTCCTGGACCCGGTGGTTTAAACTCACGCCAGGTGCGTGTGTGTGCGTGCCCAAGATTCTGAGAGGAGAATGGAGGAGAAGGGATTGCAGCATGGCCACACTCCCGGGGGGTGATTTCTGGCTTTCTATCTCTCTGTCTCTTTCTGTCTGTCTGGCGAGCGCATGCTCCCTATAGCAAAAACCTCCCCAAAAAAAAAAAAAAGAAATAGATGCAATAAAAAACACACAAAGACACATGAGTCTAGAAAAGCAAGGATCGGGTGGGCACAGCTCTGATGGAGAAGTTGCGACCAGAACCAGTCTCAGGTTTATTCTTTCAAAGGGCAGAAAATGGGGGAAGGGGAAAACAAGATGCAAAAGGAATGGGGAAGAAAGAAGTGGAATGCAAAGAGAATAAGGGAGGAGAAATTGCAATGCAAAGCCAGTTGTTTTGGGATGTAAATCGTCTAAAGATGTGAAAATGACTGGCGCCATATAATTTCTCTGCTATTTTTGAGGGGACAACCTGATAAACGCATGTGACTTCCTTTAGCCCGATACTGGGCAGTATCAGGGTATGGGGTATCAAAAACAACAGGAAGACGACCATTGACAGCAGGCAGGTACTGGTTCCCTATGCAGGTGCTTCTGTGGACAGAAGGCTGACTCCTTTTCCTAGTTTTCCAAAATCTTTTCAAAAGGGACTGGGGAAGTCATGCCACAAACAGGAACAGGATTCTTCCTACCTCCTGTCCCCTGGCATGGTATCTTTGAGATGTATATTTCAACCAATTACACCATATTCTTTTGCTTATCTCTTCCCAGGACAGAGAACTTCCCTTTCCTTGAGATGTAGATTAAGCCTTTCTTTAATCTCTTCCCAAGACACAGATCTTCCCTTCCAGTCACCAACCTAAGAATTGTGGAACACACCTATAACCTACAAGCCCCCCCCCTACATGTCCCACCTTTTTGGGCCAGACCAATGGAAAATCTTTTCACTAAATGTTGTCTGTCAATCTCAAAAACTGTACATGATCACCCCGAGAAAGGGCACTGATTCATGGTACAAACAACCAACACTCCTGGGCCCCTGCCCACTTTTCAGGCTCCTTCATTGGGGGCAGGGCTGTCCTGACCCTGTCAGGGGCTCAATCTGAGGACCAGGCTGGATACTACTGCTGGCTGTCAGATAGGGGTGCTTAGCACAGAGACACACTCAGATGGGGAGCCAAGACACAGACGTACATGTGACAATGTGTGGGTACAGAGTGCTTGTAGGACATCAAGATCACATGACCCTCCACCTCGGCTCTCAGGGCAGTACAGATGTTCCCATCCAGGAGAGAAGGGAGAGGGTAGGTCTGGGTTTATCCCTTTCCTGCTCGAGTCCTGGAGTGGAGGAAGCTCAAGAGTGACCTGGGCTGAGCTGGCCCACAGGAGTACCATTGCATTATCTTACGTCCCCACAAACCAGAACTAGGGGGCATCAGAACTGAGGACGGAGGACCAGCACAGTCGGGAGGGCAGCATCACCAGCGCTGCTCCTTGTGAAGCAGGCATGATCCCATCTTGGAGGAGCATCTCCAAGAAGAGAAGGGAATGAAGCAGGAGCGACTCCATCTTGGAGAAGCGCCTCCATTAGAAACCCTTGGACTCCTATGACTAGAAACTTGCCTTCTCCTCTGTGCCTAAGAGTCAACAGAGTAATTAGCATTCCTATTGTCTTTAAACCGGGCTCCTCCTTACTGCCTTAAAATGTTCCTTAGTGATATAATCCTCAGCCAGATCCCCTGCCCTGGCTATGAAGACCATTAAACTTCTATTGTTTTGAAGGCAGAGACAGAACCTACCCTGAAGGAGCAGTAACCTGCTTTTCTTGCTTCTGTTTTGGTTCTGTCTGGATGTCCTCTTATTTCTCGCTGAGTAGACTATAATACTGGTGCCACCAGGAGCAAGGGGAGGGACTTCTCCTTTGTGTGTTACTAATGCTGTCAGGTCGCACTGTGATTTACTGTAGGTGTGTTGAATAAGGATTTTTATAAATACTGAAAAGTATAATAATTTTTGAAATACATTCTTCTTTTCTAAGGTTGTGGGGTCAAATATGTCCCCTCAAAAAGATATGTGAAGTCCTACCCATGTTACCACAGAACACATCCTTATTTTGAAAACTAGTTCCTTACAGATGTATGAGCCAGGATGAGGCCATCTTGTCGTAGAGGGACCTCCCAACCCAACCAAGTATGACCTCCCTCCCTCCCAACCCAACCAAGTATGACCTCCCTCCCTCCCAACCCAACCAAGTATGACCTCCCTCCCTCCCAACCCAATATGACTCATTATGACCTTACTAGAAGGTGGCTATGAGAAAACACGACAGTCATGTGAAGAAAGAGGTAGAGAGGGCAGCTGCCAGTCAGGGATCTCTTGGTGTTGACCAGAAACACCAAGCACCAGGAAGAGGGGAGGAAGGATTCCCTCAGAGCTTTCAGAGAGAACTCGGCACTGCTCTATGGATTCGGACAACGAGCCTCCAGAACCGTGAGACAACGCACGTCTGTGGTTGAGGGCTCCCAGATTGTGCCACATGGTTATTACCGCCCTAGGACAGGGGCAACCACATAATCCACAGAACTGCAGATCTGAATTGCCTCGTGTTTCTTCATCTTGGCCTCCCATTTTTCCACAAACGGGATCACGTTAGTGCTCCTGGTACTCCCCTTTATACTCTGCTATTGTCGCAGGAGCTGAACTACGGGAAGTTTCATGTCTTGTTATACACGAATATATAATGACTGCTTAATATGGCTAAGATGAAGTAAGTACTAATCAAAAATTTTAGTTTTAAGTGCTTGCAATTCTTCACTGCTCTCGAGACAGGAAGATGTGAACAAGTGAAAGCCTTCTTGTCTCTAATAAAGGACTTTATTTCTGTGGACCCGTGACTCCTGAGGAGAGGCTGCCACTTCCATGGAAGCCTGGAGTCCTTGTGTCTGATGTGGCATTCACAGAGTGGGAAAGAGGGTGTGAGTGTCCTGGCCAGGGTGGTGGGAGGCAGGACAGACTGAGGCCTGAGGGCTGGGTCACGACCCCAACCTCCCAGGCCCATCTCACTAGGGTTGCTCCCACCATCATGTGCCCACAAGCCACCTGGGGATTTTGCAAATGTGGGTTCTGAATCAGTGTTTCTGCAGTGGGGCCTGAAAGTCTGCTCTTCCAGAGAGACTATTTCCCCAGATCAACACAGCTATTTCATTATCTTCATAGTCACAATACTTGAAAACACAGAATAAAACTCTGCAGAGACAGAAATCAAAGCGAAATCTCTCATAGAGAGGGTGAAAGACGTTGGCTAAAGGAAAAGCCATAGTAGGAAGAGGGGGACTGCAGAGAGGAGAGGAGGGCTGAGAGCCAGGAAAGAATCACTGTGTTTAAAAAACAGTCTTTTTAAATTTTTGAAAAAGAACTAGATTTAAAAAAAAATAATTTTATTATTTATTTATTTATTTTCATTTAACTGGGGAAGAAGCCAGCAGGTCTGGGACTCAAACTGTGGTTGGCCATGTGGGAGTGTCCAGTGCTTTAACCACCGTACCACTTACTGGCTCCCCCCTTATCTCAATGAGGACCGCTCTCACCAACTTCCCTTCTGCATCTCTGATTCCTGACTGTCCTGCTCATATCCTGGTCTCCCTTCCTTTCCTACCATCCCATTGTCCCTGTGACCTCTAGGTTCCTCCCCAAGGGCTTTACATCAGAGCAGCCAGGGGCATGCCCTAAGCTCTTCCCATGGAAGTTGCCACTCCCCGTCTTTGTTTTTGAACCTCTCTAAACCCTGACACCAGAAGCTCCAACTCCATGGCTTTTACTTCCGACACCTTATTGCACCTTGCCCTTCTGTTCCTGGGGTTCTCTCATTCCCAGAGAGTCCTGAGAACCACCAAGCATGCTCGTAAGTTCTTCCAGCTCCCCTCATGCTGCTCCATGTGTGCAGCTGGAGAAGCACCAAGCAGGAGAGACACCCAGTTCCCGAGCAGCCAGGGAGGCGAGATCAGGCTGGGCCATCCTGCTCCCTGAGGGGGACCCAGCAGCTGTGTCCTCTCTGACTGGCACAGTCCCCTGAGCATGGCCCTCTGTGCTGTCCCAGCAGGAGCGTCCTCCCAGGGCCCCCCAAGGGGTGGAGCCAACCTCCCTCCCCCTCAGTCTGCAGTGTGAGCTGAGCCCCAGCCCAGGTCTCAGGGAGGGGCTGGGTAGCCACTGGATGGTCAAGCATTTGCATAAAGAGCCCCTCCTGTGGCAGAAGGTAGGAAGAAAAGGAGGCTTTGGGCAGCCCAGCCATGTGGGGACCAGGGACTGTGTCCACCATGGCCTGGACTCCTCTCCTTCTTGTGCTTCTCTCTTACTGCACAGGTAGGACACTCTTCTGGTGGCCTGGGGTAATCTCCAGGCTTGTATTTGCTCCTCTGATTCAGATCATTAAGAATCTGAGACCTGACATAATTCGCCCCAAGTCATGAGTGTCTGTGTCTGCAGGTTCCCTGTCCCAGCCTGTGCTGACTCAGCCGCCCTCCCTCTCTGCATCTCCTGGAGCATCTGCCAGACTCACCTGTGCCCTGAGCAGTGGCTTCAGTGTGGGGAGCTATGGGATAGGGTGGCAGCAGCAGAAGCCAGAGAGCCCTCCCCACTATCTTCTGTACTACCACACAGACTCCGATAAGAAACAGGGTTCTGGGGTCCCCAGCCGCTTCTCTGGATCCAAGGACACCTCAGCCAATGCAGGTGTTCTGCACATCTCGGGGCTGCAGCCTGAGGACGAGGCCGACTATTACTGTGCAATATGGGACGGCAGTGCTTCCCACAGTGATGCAGGCCGATGAGGAAGTGGGACAAAGACCTCAGGTCCTGCAGTTCCTGGCCTGTGACTCTTACTCTGTGCATGTTAAAATATATTGACTTCTAATATAAATAGTTCCCAATATTAAAACTGTCTCCTAATATTGTACGTGATTAGTGTAAAAACCTAATAATAATTCTCAAAACAGCACAATAAGCTGGAGCCACAACTGGAAAGGACATCCTTGGTGTCCTGTGCATGACCCTGGCGTTCAACCACCCCCAGGAGGCAGCCAGCGAGGAGGTCTTCTGTTCAATCAATGAGGGAGCAGATCTGGGTCCCCCCAGGTCCTCTCTGTTTCTCTGAGACTCCACCTTGTACCAGGGAGACTCCTTACTCTCCTTTCAGGACCAGAGCAGGGACTGCACCATGCCTGGCCAGGGGCATTCTGGGAAATACCAAGATTCCTGAGGACAGAGTTCAGTGAGATGGTGTGGGAGGGAAAGGACAGAGGAGGGGCAGAATGTAACCAGGAGGGGCAGAATGTTATAATTCATCATCCACCAGCTTCACTGTCAGATCCTGTCCCGCAGGTATAGGATAATTTCTCAGTTCTGAGGCCCTCTCCTGATGGAAGTTTTACAGGTCTAGAAAGCTCGCTTACACTGAACATTGCACCCCTATTCATTCAAATTACAAGGTCCTGCCTGCTCTCAAACCCTGATGAAGGGGCCAGCAGATGGCATGGTAGCGGGGGCAATGGATCCCACATGGTCTAATCCATGGTTCAAGGTCCAGACCTGGTGTCTTCAGAAACATGCTAGGTGTGCATGCATGAGTGCCCAAATTTCTGGAAAGAGAACGGAGAAGAGATTGCAGCATGCCCATCACTCCTGGGGTGATTTCTCACTCTCCCTCTCTGGCTCTCTCCCATGAGTACACGGACCTTATGGCAAAAATTGAAAAGTAACACCAACTAAAGAAACCTGATGAAGCGTGTTACATATACAAATTCAGAATAAAATGTAACCTGGGGGGCTAGCAGGTGGCATGGAAGTTAAGGCAGCTGGGTCCCACATGGCTGACTGCACAGTTCCAGTCCCAGGCCCAGCTGTTTAAAATCATGCCAGGTGTGTGTGCATGTGTGCCCAAAATGTGCAGGAAGAAGGGACGGTGGGGTGACCATCCCTCCTGGGGGATAATTTCTTACTCTCCCTCTCTCTTTCAGTCTTTCTCTGGTGAGTCTATGTGCCCTAAATCAAACTTAAAAACAAAAAAAAACCAAAAAAACCCACAAAACTCTTTGAGGAGAGAAATAAAAAGTTAAAAAAATTGAATCATAAAAAAATGACGTATGGAAAGTTGCTTAGTTGACATTAAAACTTGAGCTTCAATTCTCTTTGTTATATATATATAATGTTATAGGGCATATATATATGTATATATATATATAAAACAAAAACCTCTCTAAAAGTTAAAAAAATATGAAAAAAATATGAATCATAAAAAAATGACATATGGAAAGTTGCTTAGTTGACATTAAAACTTGAGCTTCAGTTCTCTTTGTAGTTCACATACTAGATTTTCTGTGTGCCCTAAAAAGTTTCACAGCCTTGTTTAACACCCCCTAATCAGAGGGAAGACTAAATTCTCATTAATCAGGCAAATTTCAAATAAAACAGTCATGAGGAGGGACCAGCAGGTGGCGTGGCGGTTAAGGCACTGGACACTCCCACATGGCCGACCACGGTTTGAGTCCTGGACCTGGTGGCTTGCTTTCTCACTTTCCTCTCTCTCTCTCTCTCTCTCTGTGTCTCTTTCTGGTCGAATTAAAATGAAGGAAGGAAGGAAGGAATAAATAAATAAATAAGTCATGAGGAATAGATTCCCAGGATCTCTTGTGAGCCACATTTTCTCTGATTCTAATGAAAGACAATCCTGAGTTCAAATGTCACAACTCCTCATTTATCTCCATTCGTCCCGAGCGTCTGACACAATTCAAGAATGACACACAGGTCTCTCTGAGCTGGGAAGATGAAAGCAGACACTGCAGCATACTCAGCACACACCAAGCGAGAGATCAGATGCTTTCAGCCTGTCCTCTGGAGTCACGTACAAGTTTGCAGCTCCCACAGATGTCTTCTCAGAGAAAAAAAAAAACTGCAGTAAACACATTGATTATATCAAAATCCGACTGTCAGAGAACGAGACGAAGGATGAGTGAATAGAGACAGTGGATGGCTGATGAGTGGCAGAGACCAGCTGCTCTGTGAGGGCTCTGGGCCATGGGGAAGTATGTGACAGGGTCCAGCAGGAGACGCCGTGGGACTGCCCTGTACTTCCTAAACTCCTGCACAATGAGAACCAATCAAGAGAGGCTGTGCCTTGGACTGGCCCTGTGTTCCCTGATGGGGACCCAGCAGCTGTGTCCTCCCTGACTGGCAGAGTCCCCTGAGCAAGGCCCTCTGTGCTGTCCCAGCAGGAGCTTCCTCCCAGGACTCCCCAAGGGGTGGAGCCAACCTCCCTCCCCCGCTGCCTGCTATGTGAGCTGAGCCCCAGCCCTGGGCTCAGGGAGGGGCTGGGCAGTCACTGGATGGACACACATTTGCATGAAGAGCCCCTCCTGTGGCAGAGGGTGGGAAGAAAAGTTGCCCTGGGGCAGTGCAGCCATGTGGGGACCAAGGACTGTGCTCACCATGGCCTGGACACTTCTTCTCCTCATGCTTCTTTGTCATTGGCCAGGAAGGGCAAGGCTTTGGGGACACAGGATAATCCCCAACCTGCTTTGGGGTCTTCAGGTCAAGGCTGCTGAAAATTATCATCCTAGTCCCTGCTCTCCCATTCTCATGTGTCTGTGTCTGCAGGTTCCCTGTCCCAGCCTGTGCTGACCCAGCCGCCCTCCCTCTCTGCATCTCCTGGAGCATCTGCCAGACTCACCTGCGCCCTGAGCAGCGGCTTTGCTGTTAGTCGCTATGACATGTACTGGCACCAGCAGAAGCCAGGGAGCCCTCCCCGCTATCTTCTGAGGCACTACACAGACTCAGACATACACCAGGGCTCTGGGGTCCCCAGTCGTTTCTCTGGAGCAAAAGATATCTCAGCCAATGCAGGTGTTCTGCACATCTCTGAGCTGCAGCCTGAGGATGAGGCCCACTATTACTGTGGGTTTGGCACAATAATGTGTACCACAGTGACACAGTCAGATGGGGAAGTGAGACAAAATCCTCAAGGTCCACAGGTGAGGGCCTCTGGTTCTTGTGATGTTGCAATACATTTACTGATATTGTTCCAAAGAGAAAATATCTTGGGACCAGCAGTTAGTGTAATGGCTATGTCGCTGGACTCATGCAGTCGACCGCGGTTCGCGTCCCAGACCCGGTGGCTTAAAACTCATGCCAGGTACGTGTGCGTGCGTGTCCAAGATCCCAAGAGGAGAATGGAGGAGAAGGGATTGCGGCGTGGCTATCCTCCCTGAGGGTGATTTCTCACTTTCTGTCTCTCTGTTTCTCTCTGTCCGTCTGGTGAGCGCACGTGCCCTATAGCAAAAAAAAAAAAAACAACCAAAACCCAAAAACCAAGCAAAAAAAAAACAAGAAAAAAACCCAAAACTTAAACGTCTCCCTCAATATTTTTCTAAATATTAAAGAAGAAAAATCCTCCTACTGACACCTGACTTCCACCATGCTGACTTTACATCTGAAGGTCCAGGTACCTCGAGTGAGTCAGGCCAGCTCCGGTTGACATAGGGGGACTGTCACAAAGCAGAGACAAAGTCACAGGAAAAGACTTGAGTGGGACATTTAGGTGGAAATAAAGAACACTTGGGGAAGGAGGGGTTCATTGCCAAAGTAAGTATCGGCACCAACCTCTGGGGGCATTTCTCTCACAGCCTGAATCTCTGCTCTTGACCCTCATCAGCCATCAGACACCAAGGCCTTTATGAGCAAGTGAAAGGACAAAACTGGCACCTCTCATTCTTGTCTCTGGGCACGAGACTACACGGTAGGCATCCTGTCTTTCAGCTTTCTCTCACGACCCCCCCATTCCACAGCTGGATTCTGTAGGATCAGTCTAGGGATCGGTGTATAGGAAATTTCAATAAATATATTTGAATATACACAAAGAGGCTGTGAGTCTCAGTGAGGTTTGGATCTGAGTAGGGTGTGCAGTGGGTCATAGCTTTGTGCTGTGGGTCTCAGTGATGTGTGCTGTTGTCGCACTGAGGTGTGCTGTGGGTCACAGTAGGGTGTTCTGTGGGTTAAAGTGGGGTGTGTTGTGGATCTCAGTGAATTGTGCTGTGGGTCTCGGTGAGGTTTGGGTACAAATGAGGTGTGAGTTTAAGCCACCAGGTCTGGGACTCGAACCGTGGTCGACTCCATGGGAGTCCAGTGACATAGCAATTACACCAACTGCTGGTCCTTGGAAGCTTGTTTCTTACTTTCCCTCTCTCTCTGTGAGCACACTCTGATTTGTGAGGTATAGGAGGCCAAAGGGTGAGCATCAGAATGAAAATAATCGTTTTTTAAATATAACAATGTCTTCTCAAGCTTCAAAGAAAGGGGCCTCTCTCCTTGCGCATGCACACATAAATTTGGGAGCTGAGGAAGGTAATTTTCACATGCCAATGCATTATGAGTTGAAATGAGCAGAGGAGATGCAGAGACCGTTAAAGAGACACACATCGTCCCCCATTCCAATTCAGAGGAAGATGAGCTTGGAAAAAGGAACTGTTTCTCAAACGAGGAAATGTGGAAACCTAGTGCATTTCTTTGCTCACATCTCTGCATCCCTGGGCTCTCCAAGAGGTTTCATTAATGACTCATCTTGGTAGAGAGCAGAACAGAATATGTTACATTTTGCTTATGTGGATGATTTTTTAGTTTCTAAAAACTTTTAAAGATTAAGCGATATGTGATTATATGTAATATAAACAAGATTATGATAATAAAATTAAAAAAAAGAAAATGACAAGAAAAAAGATTAGTCTTAGCATCAGGGTTTGCATTAGCGTTTGTGTAAGCACTAGCGTTTGCATTTACGTTA